GCTGTTGTTGTTGTTGTTGCTGCTGCTGCTGGAGTCGTTCAATGGTTTGTTGTTGTTCCATTACCATTCTTCGTAATTCGATAATATCCTATTGGTTTGATTAGGGTTTTCTATTGTTGATTCTTGATTTGATCTTGATGGAGGAGGACTTCGCCTCAATTTTGGCATTTACACTTTACTGTTTTAATTTTCACAAAAACTTTTGGTGTCACACAAACTTTAGTGTCCCGCCGCTGTCATCAAATTTTATGTCACGTCTTAGTTGTTTTTTTTTTTTTTAAACGTGTTTATTGTCCTTGTTGGGTCAATGGATTTAACTACTTTACCCCGGAATGGACAAGTTCGTGTGATTGTGAGTGAGTAAATGTGTAAACGTATGTGTGTGTATAAAATAATGATTTTACTTACTGATTCTGGTTTTGTATCGATTCTTTCTTTTAAGTAATTTTTAATTATTTTGAAATCTTTTTCGTACTGTAGTTACAGAGAGACTGAAGAGCTTAGGATCGGACTTAAGACGTTGGTGAACGAAGGTTTGGGAATATGAGTAAAGTGTAACGCGACGCTCAGGAATTGGTCAGGGGATATGTTAAGAAAACAAACCTTTATCTATCCAATAACTTATTCACGATTTTTAATGTTTTTCTCTTAATGATCCAATTGTTATGTATATTGTTTGTATTTTAAAGGTTTAATTAATTAATTATAAACTGACTTTCTAAAACTTCTACTTATTACTTAAAAACTGACTGATTGATTGATTGATTGATTGATTGATTATCTGATCTATCTGTTCTGATCTTACTGTTCTGATCTTACTATTCCGATCTTACTACTCTGATCTTACTACTCTGATCTTACTACTGTTTTGTGGGCATTTGCACCCGTTTTTATAAGCAAATGGCGAGATACCCTCGCGCGAGTTCTCACCACCTTTTAGTAGAAGGCGAAAGATGCTTCTCACGACATGTGAGCAATAATCAATAGTTAGATTTTGACACCTTTTTATCAATCTATTGTTCATCGACCACTCAGGGCATTTACTGCATTCCTGGCGGTAACAGAAGGTGCACTCGATCGAAATAAATACGTCGGACGTAACACTTCAAAAAATAGTTTGATGAGCAAATATCCAGTCAGAACTACATGTTGTTTCAAAATTGATTCGACGTTAATGAAGGTTGAATTACCATTGATTCAACGGCTCATCGATTATTTCGACGTCGAATAAATCTTGAATCAACGTTACAGTTCCGACTAGGTATGATTTCTCCGAGTTAAAATATGAGAAAACGCAGATATAATAAAAAATTTAACCTAGCTGCACTAAATCTGAGATAATAAAGTTAAAAAAAAATTGCAAAAACTACAATTTCGACATTTAAAATACTGTAAAAAATTAATAACGCTGGAAAGCTTAAATAAAAGATTCAAAGGTTACTTTGATTTTTCTTATCGAGTAAATGATGCTATTTTAGCAGTTATTTTAGCTATCCGTTTTTTAAATTACGGTGAATACCAAAAGAAAGAAGAAATAAAGTCAAAGAATTGCTTGTTAATGAAGCTGAATATTTACTAACCTGTGTGTCAAAATTTCGAAATAATTCGACGAATGTATCCGAAGCAATATGCAGTGAAAGCTTTTTTGCTTTTGAAGGAGGTCATCTTCGGATAAAAGTCTTGCAAATACCTCTATTAAAAATACGATTAAACTGCAATGCTTGTAGTATTTGCAAAATGAGGATATATGAGGTTTGGACACGCTTAAGGGGTTTCTCTAGTGTGATAAAGCCTAAAGCAGGATGATCTTTTAGGAATTTTTAAAATAAAAACGATGAAACTAATTTATATACTTTTCGTATATTATACTACATTTAAAGAATATATCAAAATGTTTTCAAGTATATATATGTATAAATAACAGCATGTCAGCCATTCTGCCTCCAAAAAAAAGTTTGTGGACTGTAACCATGATTGCTGCCGTTCTGGTTGTCTGAAACAAAAAACCAAAAAGATTCTTAATCTGCATATATGTAGCTATCGTTTGGTCTAAAATCATAAAAAATATTGAAAATTTAAAAAAATTATAGTATATTTATTGTTTTTTCTTTATTTTTGGCAAAAATTGCATAGTTTTTTGAGTGTCAAATTTTTTATTTTTAAACGCATCAAAAAAGTTTTTTTTTTCAGCTATTCCAGAGCCGTATAGAATACCTTCTTCTTCTTCATAAAATTCGTTCAGAGCAGCCTGAGCTTTTCTGTTAGCTATGCGAGTCTCCTTCGTCACCTCGTGATGTTTACGCTCGGCGATCCGCAATCGCTTATCGTCTCGTTTGTCGACGAATTGCTTGGCTACTAGGCTAATGACGACTCCCATCGTCCGAAAAACTTTCAGGAAAACCTTATAATAGCCTTCATTGAAAATACTGACGGCCAGATAATTAGCAATTTCAATTGTTTCCAAGCCGCAATGTAGATGTTTTGGAGCAAAGTGCCACAAGCCGTTATAGCTTTCGTTATTATTCTGCGTGTTGCCGTCTAAACAGCGTTCCAATAAATCATTTTTAGATAAATCTTCATAAATTTTCTTAATCATTTTCTGAATAGTTTCGGTGAGCGGCGGATCGTGAGTGAAATTCTTCACAGTTTCTGCGGCCTCCGCTCGACGCCATGCACAACTCTCCTCTCCGGCTGAGCAATACATATGATGCGGTTTTTCACTTGAACATTTCTGATAATAAGTAGCCCAAATGCCTTTCCGCGTATCTTCTACTGAATCCACGTGTCTTGTAATTGCCAATCCAAAGTAACTTTATAAATCGTTTATTAATTTATTTGTTAATTTACCAGGGCCCTTTCTTCCAATACGTTTGTTTATGATATACTGAGATATAAGAGCGCCAGACTAAATTCTAAGAACAACGATAGGTTCAGCCGGGAGCCAGCTTCTTCTGACCGACCGCCAAGTGTACATCATATCTGCGCGCGGCGCGCCTGCAAGACCTATATATTTATAAGTACTTAGAAACCAGCTATAATACTTTGGGATATTTTATTTTTAAGAAGTTAAACTTTAAACTTAAAAAAATTTAATAAAAAAATTCGAAATTTTGGACCCGACATACTAGGAAAATCCTTTAATGCATTTCTACAATTCAAGAAATTTTTATAAAATATAATATAGCATTTCTCTCTCCGTCGTCTGCGCCAGTAGAACGATTATTTTCATATAGAGATTATAAACCCCAATCGTCGAAGCATACACGATGATACATTTGAAAAACAGTTATTGTTCAAATTAAACAGCGTGCTTATCAAATAGAACTATAAAATGTATGAATACCCAAATAAACTGTATATACTAAGAAAAACCATTTTGCAGTTGAAAACCATTTAAAATATCTATTTACCAAATTTATATTTAAAATGGATTCAAAAAGCCCATTTTACATTTTATATTTTAAATACAATTTTTTAAGTATTTTACGTTTGGCATTTTAAATGCAATTCGAAAAAAATTTTACCCAGCTCTGGCTGGGAGTATATACTTTCGTGGATCTAGATTCGCGACGATCTCTGGTATCTTACAGGAGGACTCTCAGAATGCATACATGTGAGTGGATTGATTCTGCTATGATTTGCGCACTGAGTTGCCATACATTAAATTTATTGTTACTCGGGTTACTTCTTTTGAATACAGAACACGGTAGAACTTGAATTGGAAACGAATTGTATTTTTGTCTATCTACTATATGTCTCTAACTGTTTGTATTTAAACAAAATAATCTGTATGAACAATTATATTAAAAAATTATTCCTACAACAAACTGTAACTCTTCTACTACAAAATTAATAATATTAGGAAATGTGCGCCAAGTGACTATGATTAATTATAACATATCATTTTTCTAATCACTTTATTTGTTATTAGACTATGTTATGTACCTATTTTTTTATATGTTACATCATTCTGTGTTAGGTACATGTTTAAATGAGTTTGTTACCATTATTCGTGATCCATTAGTAAATGTAACTTGTCTCTATTACTCATTACAACAGCGTTACTTCCTAAATCTGTATCGTATTCCAAATCCCAAACTTGTATTTGAAATGTATTTGAAGTGCACAAATTATAAAAAAGAAAAATAATTTAAAAATAAAAATAATTATTCAGATTCACAAACTTGGCACGTCCGGATGACATAAAGATGCATCAAAGAATTCTAAAACATATTTCATTCCACAGTAAGATTATAGAATACTTGTAGGTAACATTGAAATTGTTATTACAACCCGGGCGCACCAAGTTTTCTTTGTGAATCTGAATAATTTTATTTTTCTTTTTTATAATTCGTACACTTGGTCATTTCAAATGCCCTAATCTTAATAGCTCCGGGCCCCAACCGATACGGTGAACGTTACAGACGTGATGGATGCATAAACAATTTCGATTTTTACGACCGGATATTCAATAAGTTCTATAAGCTCTTTGATCGCGGAAAATGTGGTTGCTATATGCGTTCGCTCTGACTCATGATGATTCATATGGTACAATAAATAATTATCGTGAAATCCCGCAGAACGTAATATTTTCTTCCGTCATATTCAATATGTATATGTAGGCTTTACCGTGATTTACAGTAACTAAACTGTCTAACAGGAAGATATTTTTCTGATAATATAATATCATAATTTATCACTACCAATATGCAATAATATTTTTTTACAAAGTAAAATAAGAATTAACATACTGCTTTTATTTCTCATATTGAATCTAAAGGTATTCTTAACTTTACTGATAAAAGACATTATCATGGAAATGTTACAAATATAAGAAATGCATTCGCTGCATATTTTGAAGGAGATGCAATCCCATGGCAATGGGTAAAATCACTTCAAAATGAATTTTAAGTCTTCCATTCGCACAAATAAATTTTAGTATGTTTCTGTTTGGTCTGTTAATATATTTCTGTTAAGTTTAAATTCCACAAAATTAAAACGATTTAATTTACAGATTTTTTATTTGGATTTAATATCTGTAATAGTTGGAAATTTAGGTTTTTAAACCAGACCTAACTGTTATATATAATTAAAAAGCAGAAAAACTGAACTTGTAAACTTAATAATTACAGTATACATTGATAAGTACCAAAGAGACTCAACAATTTCATAAGTTATAATAATAAACTTTTATTATCGTTTCAACATGTTTAACATTTTATATATGAAGACAACTTTTTAGAATCTTCATAGAATCTAACTTTATAGAATACTATTTTAAATAAAATTATTATGCTATAAAATGTATAGTCTGTGGACGCTTAGTATTATTTACAAGTAAACAGTATAATAACTTTTTAGTAAATACCGAGCAACGGTTACATAATAACGTGATAATTTCCTATTCAACAATATAAATGTTACATAACATTTTTATATATGTCCTACATTGCATTTATATTGTTGAATGGAAAATTATTACAGATGTTATATAGATATAATTATATAGTTATATAAGTGTTGCTTAGTATTTACTGAATTATTTAATAGTTTCAAAACTTAATAATAATACTTTCAATAATAATAAACTTAATAATACTACTTTTCTTTATATAATATTGCAACAGTGTAAATAATACTATAATGTTTTATGATAAAATAACTAGACTATTAGGTAACTTAGATTATGAGATAACACACAAAATAGTTTTAAACAAAACTCATCTTACGATAAAGTGTATCTACTCACTTAAGTATCAATTATAAGTTTAGTCAATATAATAGCTTATTTAATACTTTCAAAAATAATAGTAATACTTTCAGGTACTAATTTTTGGTAATCATATTACAATAGTATAAATAATTACCATATATTGCAATAGTGTAAATAATGTACCATATTATAAGATAATAAAAATAAAGTCAATACATGTTACTCTGTTTCTTCTGATTCAGCTTATATAATCATTCGAAGGAATTTTATTTCCATCCTAATTCTCTTCTGATAAGGCAAAGCTTCTCCCAAAGTCTTTAAAAAACCGTCTACAGCATCCGTCTCTGGAATTGGCGTCTTCAAAATATTTAGTACAGCCGCTTCGAATTCTAATGAACAATTGTACGATTTGTATTCTATAATTAAAAATAATAATATTAGAGTTTAATCTAAAGTTTACATAACATGTAACTAATTACTTACTTCTAATGGATTTCGAAGTCACGGTTTCAGATGCAAGTATTTCATTCGGAGTTGGTATTTGTGAAGATACGTTAGACGAATCAATCTGTGAGTAATTTGTTCCAGTATTCCCTATATTGAGCGTAGCAAAACTTGGTTCAGAATTTTGATCTGTGGATATAAAAGAGAGTTTTTTTTTTTTTAAGATCCTTCATCTTTATTTGACAATATATTAACTGTTCTGTAAAATAATAATTTTTAAATATTATTAAACAAATTGTTACTAACTTATTATAAAGTTATCATTTTAATACAAACTAATATTTCATAGTATATTCAGATTGAAATGTATTCTTTGAAAATTTATTTGTAACGTTACATACGATTTTATTTCAAGTACGTTATCCAATAGTCTCATTAATTCATAGAATCTATAGCTACATTTAAAGTTTGCAGAAGATGCGGCAGATCCACTTGGCACATATTCTTTTACTTTTCTTCTAGCTCTAATGTAACAGTCACGATGGTATTTCCATCTTTTTTGTAAATCTTTGATGCTCTTATTACCTATTTGTATTTGTTTTCAAATTTCATACAAGTATCAAAATAAATGCAATAATAATTTGATTATATACTCAATACACAGAGTTATAGCATATGATATAAATTGCAGTATTCGACTCACCACCAATTATGTTTTTGAATTTCTTCCCATGCTGATTTTTTCAACGTTGATCTTTCTTTTATGTTTAATTTATAGTTGTATAATAATGGCCTTTCCATAACTGCCATTATGAGATTTTCATCAAAGTCAGTATCAAAATACTAAGATGGTGATGCCTCTGCACTTTGAGTTTCATTGTTTTGTACTGTAACAAAAAATTTGATAATGGTATTTAATATAAAATTCAAATGAACATGTTATTAATATATATATATTTTTTTTTTTTTTTTTTTTTTTTACCAATAGTGACTACAGAATTCTCATCAATTCTTAGGACATCAACCGTCTCATCATATCCTTCAAAACATTTATGTTGCCACAAATCTTGGTATTGATCTGCTATAAACCAGCCATAATAGCTGCATTTAATTTATTGCAAAACCTTAAAATTATAATAAAACATTAATAAAACACAACGCATATTATTTTTATTTAAATATACATTTATAAATGTAGCATACAACATTATACATATTTTATAGACTATAAGACAGAATTCTTTATAACAAATAACTTATAAGGTAAATGAAATGAAAAAATGTGATAAAATTTAGATAATAGTCATAAAAAAATAAAAAATTAAATGTAAACAAAAAGAAGTATTTTATAAGAATATAAAATGATGTGTTAATGACATCTTTAATGTTAATAGTAAGTTATAATGTTAATATATCATGATATATATTTGCTGTGTAATAATATATAAAAATTTGTAGTTAAATATCAACAAATCATTATGTAGTAATTAAATAAAGCAAACATAACCTACTTTAACTTACAACATGAGAAATTATTTGTCAAATATTAAATACGTGAATATTTTATTATTTAAAATTCTGATCTTACTTTCGTAATTTTATTTGAAATATGATTTTATAATCACATCCGGCTAGTTTGCCTGCACTGCACACAAGAGAATTAGTTATGTTGAATGCATCTTGACTCACTGAGCCAAGATATTAGCCATTATTAGAGTGAAATAGTGTCTTATAATAGCTCTCTGCAGTGAGTCAACAGCAGTTGTCAACGCTGTCTTACAGACTCACATTTCTCTTTTCCTCTGGTGGTCTTCAAGTCATGGCTGTGCAGACCAGTAGTTTGAGTGGATAGCTGCCTTCTGCAGCTATCTGCAAAGGTTGTTGCATACCCACCCGCAAGTTTTGCTGCAACATATATATTTATCCTCCTAATCTCCAAAGTCATACTTCTGAATATTTCTTTATAAAATATTTACTTTCTATTATTAATAAAAAGTTAAATAATTTTGTACTGTTACTTTGCATATTAACTTCCTGAGATCTAAATTGCAAAGGATTATTATTATCATAAAGTTCATCCGCTTGTAATAAATCAACTTTCCCTTTTTGTGATGTGTTTGTCTTAGCTCCTACTAACATTAATATTTCTTATTATTTGTTTGATGACATAAGAAGCGAGGAAATGATACAAATTTAATATATTCTGTTATAAGTGGGAATAAAAAATATGTGGGAATACAAAATAACACTTGTGACTAAATTATAATTTGTGAACACATTTTCCGAATGCTTTTCTTTTATTCCAATAATTAATAAATAGGTGTAAAATATATGTAAAAGAAACTATGAAGAAAGATCCAGATAGCCAAAAGTGCATAGATAGATGTCAAACAATAAGCTTACTATAAATTTTTATGACAAAATGGCAACAAATTTGATACAGTATCTGTTATATTAATAATGTTATATCTGTTATATCAATATGTTGTCACATTGTCGACAAATACATGATAAAAAGTAAAAAATATCAATTTGACATTATTTTGATAATATATTTGACCTAACCATATATAGTTGACATTATCTTCACTTTTTGTTTTCATTGGGAAATGGATTATAAAAATAGATTTTTTGAAGAAAAAATAAATCTTTTGAAAATTGAATTAAAATCACTTATCTCTAATGTAGAATAATACAGATATAACTTACCATCTTCTATATGTTGAGGCGTTAATTAACTTTGTTTCTACTGCTTCGTTTTGTTTGAGTTTTAAGTGGTAAATCTTGAAAAATATCGACCTCTTTTTCATTTAAATCCAAAATATCAGTAACTGACAGTTTCTCTAAAATAAGCCTTTGATAGATGACAGCTCCTCAATGGTGACAGCAGTACAGCACATCATGTACTTTTTGTCAGTTTGCCTACATATAATAAAATAAGATTAGTTGGATGCTTTCTGACTCTCTGAGTCGAGAATTAATGCTCCAGAATAACTTACCTGTATGACAGCTTTCTATAGTGAGTCAGTGGCAAGTTACAGCGCTGCTTGTCAAGAGCAAATTTTCTCTTCCTCTGGTTATCTTCAAGTCGTGGCTGTGCAGACTAATAGTGAGTGGATAGCTGCCTTCTGCAGCTGTCTGCAAGATTGGTTGCATTTGTATTTATAATTTTTGCTGCTACATACTTACTCTTCTAACCTCCAAAGTTATACCACATAGTATGACATGTGCTGTATATTGGAGTGTTGGGAGAAGTTGAGTCTGCACAGTTGCTTCTGGTCGACGCTTTTTTTCAGATGACAGCTTTTGTTAGTACTAGTTGTTAGTAGAAAGGAAAACTGTTGTTGCTGTGCAGCACTATCCACCAGTTAGCGATGAGGTTAGTGGTGAGCACTGGAAGGAAGCACACATTATTACAACAAACTGAACAAAAATCAGAAGTAAACTTGGAGATATATTTATTTGCACACACAGAACTCAATTAAATATAAAAAAACTCACAAATTTCGTGAGTGTGTTTGTGCGCAGCTGGCTTGGCCAAGAAACCAGCAGGACCGTGATACTTGGTTTGTTCTTTTGCTCTGCACTGCTGCACTGGTGCAATAAGTTAGAGAGAGACAAATATATATTTGTCTCACTCTAACTTATTGCACTAGTGCAGCAGTGCAGAGCGAAAGAACAGACCAACTGAGTCTCTACCGGAGCCGTGCTCGCTTTATTTATTATTAACAGAGAGAGGGAGGCGGAGAGGTTACCGGGGGTGACGTGGTCGCGAATATCCAACGTGCGGCTGCTCCCGATCTACTGGGAAATCTGTTCAGCGAAGACTCTGCAACTGCTAACTTGTGCCTATCTGCTCCTTCCCTCTCTCTGAGTGCGACCGATATACACGGGTGCAGGAAGTGACGTCCTCTCCGCTCTTCCTCGTGGGGTTGATTCGGGGCGGCCGGCACCTGGTGGTCGCTTCCTGGAGAAGCCTCGCATTGTACAGATGCAAAGTGATATCCTCTCCTAACCTCTCTGATTCCTTCCTTCCTTCCTTCCTTTAATATTTGGCTAGAGGCGCATCCGCGACTCATGCCCCAACGCCATTACTCAGACAGGTGCTGCCATCGTATGTTGTATATCCATTTAAATTATTTGATTCGTTTGTTTCAGAAACTTTGCTATGATTGTAAATATGTTAAGGTCTTTAGTAAAAGCTCTAGGGAAAATATCGTCCCACGGAGAAAAGTCCATTTTAATGAGGTTGGTTATTAAATTATTAGACGCTTGAGTGTGTTTGTTACAATTAAATAAAATATGTTGCCAATTCCTTGGACTGACCCCGCACACATTCACATGTTTCAGTATTAATAATATTTTTATCTATCAAGTGTGTGGTTTTATCTATCAATGGTAGATACATGGTACGATTTAATTCTAGCAATTAAAGAAATTGTATCTCTCTTAGAAAATTTATATTGTTTATACCACGGGGAATTCGATAAGTTCGGAATGTTTTTCCGGTATCTCTGCCCTTTATATTTAAATTGCTCCTCAAGATAAGCATTAGTCAGTTTTTGGAAATCATGTTTAATATTAGCAATAAGATCCCCACAGTAAATGTTAGTGTGACATGTATCATGAGAGGAGAAAGCTGCTGATTTCGCAAGTTGATCAGCAGTCTCATTGCCTATGAAACCACAGTGTCCGGGTATCCAAATTAATGTTATATGAATGTCCAATTGAGAAGCAGATATTAACTTGTCTCTGATTTTATGACAAAGATAGCTGGTCCTTTTTGAAATATTGAGGTTGGAAACATTGGATATGATACTCCTGGAGTCGGACAATATGCCAACTTTGTTCGAACGCAGTTCAATTGCAAGGTCAATTGCATATATTATGGCCTCCGCTTCCACATGCATAACCCGAGAGTGAGAGCAGGGAACAGATGCTTTAATATTATGTGTAAGGGAGAAAATCGGGAGCGGTGCACTTGGACACAGTGCATTTGGACACAGCCAATCACAGCACCGTGTGATTAGAGACATTTGTAGGGTCCCTTGGAACAGCGACTTGTGATTGGACTGTGTCCAATTGCCCCGTGTCCAACTGATATACACCCGAGAAAATCCCGAAACCAGCTTTGCCATCAGGCATTACTGAGCCGTCAGTATAAATAATACAGTTCAAGTTTTTATGACCAAGTATAGCAGCAGCCCTACGATTCATACCGCTGACTGAGATTTTTTTATGTTTACAATAATAAAAATTCCCTACTTTTTTCCGAAATTTACTCAACTCTGAGAACGCTATGATATCCGTAGAGATATCCATAAATCTATTAGCTACGGAAAAATTCAAGTGTCCCTGATATCTAGGAGGTTCTAAGTTAAGAATTTCTTGACAGTAAGGGGATAGCAGGGAGGATTTACGTGAACGAAGTATAGTAGAAATGGAGAGAGCATCTAGAGAATCACCTGGGTTAACGTTGGTGCAATCCGACTCAAGAAGGACTGAGTTCTTCATTTCATGTGAAAAGTTAGGGGTCAGTTCTATGAGACCAGAGAGAGTGATCTTAGTAGCTAAAAATAGGTGACGAATAACCAATGGCCATTCAGCGTTTTGATCGAGAAGAACATTGGTGCGAGTCGTTCTCATGAAACCAAGTACGCATCTGAGAGCGGCATATTGAACTCTATCTAGCTGAATTGTACGGCCCGGAGGAAGATCATATAACGCTAGTCCTCCATAATCGAGAATGGAGCGTATGAGTCTTCTATATACAGAGAGAATTGTGAGAGGGTGAGAACCCCACTTAATACCCGTAATGGCTTTAAGAATGTTAAGACGTTTATAACAGATATTTAATAAGGAGGTAATATGTGACTTCCAAGATAAGGAATGATCAAATGTAATACCTAAGAAAACAGCCTTAGGTGAGATGTTGATGCGCTGATTTAGATACATAATGGGTTGTTTAATTTTGTTGTAGAGTCTGTTTAGAGTTCGAAATCTGGAGGATTTTGCAAAGATGCAAAATTTAGTTTTTTGAGGAGCGATCAGTAGATCATGTGCCTGTAAATTTTGGCCAATGATAGAAAAATTGTAATTCAATTTTAAACAAATGCTAGCTACGGACTTATTCCTATAAAAGATGACAATGTCATCCGCATAAGATAATAATTTAACATCAAGCTCCATGTTTCCATGTATTCCAGCAGAGTAAATATTATATAGGAGAGGGCTCAGGACCGAGCCTTGCGGGAGGCCTATTGAGGTAGATCTCTCGCCAATGAGTCTACCATTGTGATATCCGAAAATCTTCCTATTAGTAAGGAAGGTTAAGATAATATTCATCATCCTAGCCGGAAGACCCATTCCTGAGAGGATACAGTCTAACTTTTTTGGGTTGACACTGTCAAACGCTCCCTTGATATTAAGGAATAGTGCACCAACCTTTTTGTTATTATTAAAAGCCTCAAGGATAAAATTTTTGAGATATAAAATATTGTGAGCACAAGATTTCCCGCTACGAAAACTATTCTGGAAGGTGGGGAGGATATCAAAACGTTCCGCCCACCATTCAAGCCTTCCCTGCAGGATCTTCTCGAATAGTTTTATGAGATTGCAAGCAAGCGATATTGGCTTAAATCCAGTACCATTAGGCTTTGGAATAAAGACCATTAGAAAATTTTTCCAAGAAATTGGAACAATAATAGCTATAAAAGAGCATTAAAAAGATGTCTAATGTAACAGAGAACAGAAGGAGAGAAATGCTTGATAATCTCCTACGTTAATTGATCATGGCCAGGAGCCGTTTTCTTTTTACACATATACTTAAGGTTAGTGTTAAATTCAGAGGCATTAATTTCTTTAGTGAGAAAATCAAGAGAATCAATTGCGGTCGGCAGAACACGACGCGCTGAAAAGCTGGTCATGAAATTCAAAAAATTAAAGTAGAACGGTGTGGTGACTGGAGAAGGGGGAACAGAAGAAACTATATTCCGAAAAGTATCCTTTATAGTTGTGAGATTGCGTTTAGAGAATTCTGAATTATAAAAAGACGCCTGCTTATTTCTCTGAAAAGATTTTATGGTGCGCCAGACAACTCTAGGGTCGGAGTTTATATCAAGCGAAGAACAGAACTCTCGGAACTTAGTATTCCTAATTTTACGCACGTTACTTTTAGTACTTTTTTACATACTTGATGATATTTACATATTTGATGATAGTTTCTTAAGTTTTTAGAGTTGGGGAATTTTTTTAATAATTTGTACGCTTCAATCTTAGTTTTAGCCATGTTAGCGCATTCGTTATCCCACCAACACGATGGGGGTCTCCTGGCCATTCCTGAATGCTGCACCTGCTTAGCACCGGCATACAGAAGGGATGCATCAACATGTTTAATGAGTTCTTCATAGGAGGCAGAGGGATTGACAATATTTGCATGTGAGGAAATATCCTTACGAAGAGGAGCCGAAATTTCATCCAGTCTATCTGAAAATTTGTACCAATTAATTTTCGAGGTAACGTAATGTGGTCTACAGGGTATTTTATCAGGAACTATGAGATTAAACAAAATATGAATAGGAAAATGATCATGTTTGTTATCAAATACATGCCATTCAAGCACAATCGCCAGCGAGTGGGAAACTATTGATAAATCTGGGGAGCTACAAGAGCCGCCGTCCAAGGATGACCAGGTAGGGGAACCATCATTCATGATAATGAGATCAGAATTGGTGATAGCATCATAGATGACAATGCCCATGGTATTAGGATGAAGAGTTGAATAACTCCAAGAGCAGTGCAAAGCATTCATATCCCCACAGATAATGACATTATGATATGTTTCTAAGTGATTTATAAGATTTATCCAAATGTCTCGAGTGGCTGAAGAAGTGCAATTCGAGGACAGAGGGGGATTGTATATTGAAAATAAGTGGAAGGTTTTACCCGCACAGTTAAAGCTGATTCCACAGATGTCAGTTTCCAAGCGCATATGAGCATTACGAACTGAAAATAAATCCATGAGTTCAATCTTAAGAAAGCTGACATCCTTTCTGATTAATATGGCACTACCACCGCCGACTCGAGATCTGTTAGCGGATATAATGTTATAATTAGCAAAAGTTATTGTAGAGTCATCCGACAGCCACGTTTCACTTAAGCAAATGAAAATAGGCAGGTTATCCATATCTTCAATAAAATTGAATAGGTCACTCTCTCTGGCCCTAATAGATCTACAGTTCCACTGAATAATCTAAAATTGTTTGTAAGACATAATAATAACGTCAACCAAAGAAAATTTAAAGAGTGTTAAAAGATAGTTCAGGGGATAAGGAAGATATAATTGAATTAAGTTGAATTGAGATAGCTGAAAGTTGTGATTGTATACTAATATTATCAGTGGAAAAAATAAGGCTTTGAAGTAACGAATTAAAAGAGGGTATATATCAGTTGGACACGGGACAATTGGACACAGTCCAATCACAAGTCGCTGTTCCAAGGGACCCTACAAATGTCTCTAATCACACGGTGCTGTGATTGGCTGTGTCCAAATGCACCGTGTCCAAGTGCACCGCTCCCATTAAAAGAAGATGCTATAGTATTGAGATGGTTAATTTGAGAGATATCATTGGTGGATTCAAGACTAATGGGGAATTGAGGTTGAAGTTCCTGGTTAGTAGATAATTTAGAGGGAGGCGAAGGGACAGAAGGGGGACTTACAGGAAGAAGGAGAGGAGAATGAGAGTTATGCTCCGATAGGATCGGAGAGGAAGTATGGAAAGAAGAGAATTTCTTTGAATTAGAATTGTTTCCCAGCCAATTAACGCCAGAAGACAAAGAGCTGGTAATAGGGGAAATCGCTGAAGAGGAGGAGGATTTGTCATTTTTAATTATATTTTTAAGATCTAACTTACCTTTCTTACGCAATCCATAATTAAAAGTTTTGGATTGTGAGGGAAGTGGAGGAAAATCATTGGAGTTAATCAAATTACTATGATTAGAATCAAAATGTACCGCTATATGTCTGAGAAGGATAGAAAGCATTTAGAAATGAGCCAAAAGATGGAAGACTGTTAGTAGAAGTTGTCTTAAAATTGTACCAATCTTCTGGTATT